ATGCAGGAGATGGCCCTGGGAGGAGGGACAGTGGTAACACAGCTGAGCTTGGCATTCTCTGTTCTTTCTGACACCGGTTATGCCAGTTGAGCTCATCCCTGGTCTGGGGACAGGAATGTCCCTGGACTTAACGAGGCAGGCGAGGCAGCTGGTAAGGTCTCCCACCCTCTCTCCATGGACAAGGCGAGAAGTGGGGACAAGGTCGTGCTGCAGTTGGTAAGATTCCCACAATCTGCTCCTCACCCCACCCTCACCGGGTGAACTCCCTGCACGGGGTGCGGCCACAGAGTGTCGATTAAAGGGGACTTGAGATCAACATGCGGGAAGGTTTCTATTTACCCGCATGGGCTTTCTCTGCTCTTGGCTTTCTCCCTCATCACCCCTCCTTCCTTCCTTCAGTCCTACATGCACATCAAGCACCTGCTGTGTGCAGACTTACGCCAGGCGGTGGGATATCATGGAGAGCAGAGCAGACATGGTCTCTGACTTGATAGTGTTGACATCCTTGGTGGTCGGTGGGGGCTGCCGCATTGTGCAGGGTGCGTTAGGGACCCAAGCATAATAATCCAACTAAGAAGGGGCAGATATCCAGAATCAAAGTCTGCTAAGCATAAAAACCCCTTAGCCACCTGCACACAGCTCCCACCCCCACCCCCGCTACAGGTGCAAATGCCCAGGGCCCCCCTATAACAAGTACCTGGCCCAGGTGGACGGAGGCATGCTGGCCAGTGCAGGTGAAGATGCACATGGTGACAAAGTGGCAAAGCTGGACTCTAAGGACATGGGGAATCCTGCAAGAGGCAAGGAGAGTTAGAAGCTGGGAGGCCAGGAACGGAAACAGCTCAGAGAGGCTGCGCAGGGACAATACGAAAGGGAAGAAAGGGTGTCAAGGGCTCTGAGGAACTATTGTGGGAACTGACATGAGCATGAGTTGTGGTGGGAGAAACAGGGAGATCTCCTGGGCGGGTCCTACTCAATGGGGTACTGGTATGGCTCACACTGGCTCACACGTGTCAGTTATGTTAAATGTTGTGGTATTTAGCAAGCTGGTTGACATTACAACAGTAGCTATGGTGGAAATATTTACACCAAGGAAATGGGCAAATGCTGCAAACCAGGGCTTTTTTTCCCCCCCAGAGATCCAGTTGTTAAGCATTTATGAGCAGCCACTGGTCCCACTGCATCTGGGACCTAGAGGGATTCTTCTTGCATAAGAACCTGAGGAGGCCACGGGCATTCTAATAGGGGTTGGACATGCTTCTGGAGAGTTTCATAGAAGCAGGGAGGGTTCTGGGGATGTTCCCAGGAGGAATCTTCCACACTGGAGGTCTCAGGGCAGGGGCTTAACTTACCTTGGTCCTGGGCCCCTAGCAGGCCAATCTCAGTGATCTCTCGACACCAGGTCTGCAGTTCAAGGTCCTCTTTCACCGCCTTGTCCGTCTTATAGTGAAGACTCACAATTCCCTCCACATAGCTGTCAGCCAGGGGGTTGGACCAAGAAGGCTGAAGCTGACAGGGAGCTCCAGGCCCTCTGCTCCTTGCCCACATTGCCAGGTCAGGGCACTGCCCCCCCACCCCCCCCCAAGCCCTGCCTTCCCCTTGCCTCACCGATAGATGATTTCCCACAGCCGCAGAGCATCCTGAGCATAGTAAGAGGACTTGACTCCCAGAAGCCCCCGGTCAGTCAGGTCATCGGGGGGACAGAATGATCTATAGGTTAGAGAGGCTCTAGCGCGCTTAAGCAGCTCCACGTGGCCTCCCCCACCGGTGCTCACCACCTGAGAAGCAAGGATGGGCAGGGTCAGGCAACTCCACCTGCCGGAGGCCAGAGCCAGAGGCAGCATGAGCTCCAGGAGCCCCCTTCTCTCTTCATACCTGGTCAAAAACGCCCATGTCGGAGACCAGCCCACTCCTGGCCCGCACGTTAATTTCCATGGTGTATCGCAGGTGGGGGATTATCAGCTGGAGGAAGAGAGCAGGGAAAAACTAGTCAGGAGAGACCTGAAGCAAGTCCCTGCAGGAAATTGGAGCTGAAGAACAGGAAAGGTGCCAGGTCTTCAGGAAAAGCAGACATGAAGTTCAGTGGTCCCGCGACACCAAGAGTGTTCAGTCAAATTGTAATTCATTCCACAGACCATTGACTTAAGGCTGTATGGTAAAGGAAGAAA